CAGCATTCTGCATATTTTTATCCAAGCATCCCTCCTTATAGTGGCCAAATCTCCCACACATAGTGCAAAGAAGATGTAACCCTTCATACTCTATCTTGTATCTCCTCTCCTTTATTGTGAATATTGCAAGCAAAGGCTTAGTCAAATCTACCTCAATGCATAGTCTTGTGTATTTCCCCTGTTCATGCATCAATGTATTCTTGTCTACCTTGATCGTATTTCCAATTTTGTTCCCCATGAAGGAATGTACCTTCGTATCATAATACTCAATTGGTAATCTGAAGATTCGAACATAAACTGCAACACTCTCAATAATATCACTAGCCGGATGAAAATCGAGATTTCATGGTTTCACTATGAGATAGTGATCATTAGAGCTGGCAATAAGATCACAAAATTCATCCAATTCATCCACCACATAAAAAATAAGTTAATGGATTGGATTAAATCCATCCATTTATATGAATGGATGAATTCAATCCATCCAACATATTTTAAGAATCCAATGGATAATTTTTATTTTTGTTATATTATTTTTTTAAAAATAATTAAAAATAGTTTTTTTTAAATCTAATTAAAAATAAATTTTTAAAAGAAAAAAAAATTGTTTTTTTCAATAAAAAAATTGTAATTTTTTCAAAAAAAAAAGATCGATTTTTTTTCTGAAAAAAAAAGTTTTTTTTTCGAAAAAAAATCGGTTTTTTTTGTGTGAAAAATCGATTTCTTTTCAAAATAAAAAACTGATTTGTTTTTCGAAAAAAAGTCGATTTTAAAAAAAAACAATTTTTTTCGAAACAAAAAACCAATTTTTTTTAATAAAAAAAAATCTCCCGAAAAAAAAGACCAACTTTTTTAAAATACAAAAAACCGACTTCATAATTTTTTTTTAAATACAAAAAATAAATTTTTCAAAAATAAAATAAAATCGAATTTTAAAAATAAAAAAAAAATTATTTATTTTTACAAAATAAAAAAAAAATTGGATGGATGGATATTCATCCATTAAAAATATGTTAATTGATGGATTGGATGGATTTTATTCTTAATGGATGGATTGGATTGGATAATTTTTTAAAAAAATTAGTGGATTGTTAATGGATTAATGGATTGTTTTAATCCATCCATTAACAATCCAATCCACATCCATCCAATTCATCCATTTTGTCACCCCTAGTGATCATAGATGAACCATGGACCATTAACAAGTGTTGAATTATGATCTTCATCGTGCGAGAAAATCACAAGGAAGTAATCATTACTCAGATCAATGATGTTGATTACTCTTTTTCTCAACCAATTTGTTTTAGTCGTGTCTCCAACGCCTTATACCCAATTCTTTTGCCAAGCAATTTAACAATGACCCCTCTTCTCCATGGTCTATCGATTCTTCGTTCTTCATGTTTGGAGAAGATGAATTTGGGACAAGCATAGTGGCCTTCAACGTGCTCTTCTACCTTCATATTCTCTAGATCCAGGATAGTCATCTCATAATCTTCATCTTCTACACTTTTATCTCCATTCTCCTCTATGTTCTCATTAGAAGAACATAGGACCATCTCTTTATATGTTCTACCTCCCATGCTTCCTTACTGCAAATTTCCATTATCATCTTCAGTTTGTTTTCCATCATTTTTTACTTTCTTAATATTTCTCTCCTTGAAATCATCTTCATCTTTGTTGCTCCCCTCAGATTCAGAAGTTTGCCCTAGCAGAGCACTCATATTTTGATAATATTCTTTAATTCAAAAATAAAACAAAACTTTAACAATAATAATAGTTATCAAATGTTGAATAATTTTTATAAAAAAATATGATGACTCATCATTTAACTATTTAATATTAATAAAATAAAAAAAATTTGGACAGCTCATTATCCAACCCAACAGAACCCGAAAATTAGTAGGGTTTCCCAAACTAGCCCATTGATATTACATGTGGTTATTTTACGAGAATTTTGTAATGCACCCTATATGTTTCTAGTGCACCATGTGGATTTCCACATATGTCCCCTGATTCTAGAGATATATCTCGGGACACACTCTAAGTTTAATGAATATTGAAATATTCCAGAGATATATCTCCGAAACAATTTGGAGTTTAACTCGCGTTAGAATCTTCTCCTCCCTCATTTCACAGTTTGTTCCACATAAAACACCAAACAGTCTCAATTTCATCTATTGTCACAAGCATCAAATTTCATCAAGAAATGCGTCAGAGGAACTCAAGGGAACATCAAGCATTATCTTTAATATCGGAAACAATATCTGAATCATCAATTTCATGTAAATTTTTTGAGTTTTCGATAAATATTCGAGTTTTAGTGTAAATGTGTATAAATCAGTGATTAGGGGTAGTAATGTGTAGAAATCACAAGTTACATAGTTTAGACTTAGTGTATGACTTGTTTGTTGGCTCAAAATGATGATCAGATCATTTTTTTTATTTTGCAAGAGGTACATTACGCCATTGTCGCGACCTCTGAGTTGCAGAATATTCCGGAGATACATCTCCAAAATTGTTCAGCGTTTTATATCCTCTAGGATATTCCGGAGATGCATCTCCGAAAGTATTCAAAGTATACAGTTTTAAGGTGTTTCTGGAGATGCATTTATGGAATTGTTCAACGTTATTGTTTTATGGTGTTCTCGGAGATGCATTTTCAGAATTGTTCAACGTTATTGTTTTATGGTGCTTCTGGAGATGCATCTCCAGAATTTCCTGCAGTCTTTTTTTTTTTTAATTTTCTTGTTTGTGTGTTTTGTTTGCGTGCACTAATGATACGCCTTACTTTACCTTACAGACATTATGGTTGATAGAATCAATAGACTGAAACATGGCTAAGTTTCCCAACACGCATCCGTTCGACAGGAGCGGAGCCAGCAGGTTTCAAAGCCAGCATATACCTGGTCAGGTAGAGGCGTCGACTTCTAAGACGCAATCTACTTCTGGGGCTCGTCCTTCACCTCAGGCCACTTCATCTCAAGTCACTACCTTCATATTAGGCCACTCCACCTTCTTCTTCTTCCCGTAGGAGACACCATTCACTGTCTTCCCCATCCTCCCGCAGGCATCAGGATTCATCAGTGTCACCTCATACGGATCTAGTGCCACCTTCCGTTGATGATCGTGTTGATCTTGTGTCACCTCTTAAGGGTGAGGATGTTGTGGATGCCGAGCCATAGGGTTTTGAAGGAGGACCATATGATATGTCATTACTTCCTAAGTATCCAGACCACACTACCAGACATATTTGGGACTGAGAGGTAGCATTAGTTGGATTCTTTGTTTTTTATGCGTTAATTTTAATTTTAATTTCTGACAATGATTATTACTAACATTGTTTATTTCTGGAAATTTTCAAGAGCGTGATCCTCAAAAATTTATGAACCATGGGAGGAAGATTACTGCATTGCCTCAGCAAAAGGAGGATTGGTTTCAGAGCATTGCCCCCAAACACCCTGATGTCTCTGCTCCTCCTGCCTTGTCTCGTAGAGGAGATGTTTGTTGATTATGAAAGTCACCTTCCACCAAAGGAGGCTTGGGCTACCATAGCGCTGAACGACCAGAGTTACGTTAACGGATGCATCAGGTGGTTCTTCAGGGTCTCTTATCCGTACATCGTGCAGACTGCTCTAGGAGATCCTCCGAGACCAACTCATCAGGAGATTCTAGAGGAAGAGCAGGCTCAGCTAGATCATACTGAGGATGTTTTGCCTCCGTATCGTCGCATAGTGGAGATTGTGCGGGCAAGGATTGACGAGGGTATCTTTCCTGAAGGGTCTGTTGTCAGACGAGTTCTGAATGTCATAGTGGCGGAGACACAGGGGGCATTGTTGTACCGGAGACATCGTCAGGGGACGAGAGGATTGATGGCTGAGGAGGCAGAGTAGACAGAGGATGTATAGGAAAAGTTGTCAGGCACGCCCAATAGTTGTATGTTATTATTTTGTTGTAGTACCATAGTTTGTACTTTATTTCTTATATTCTTACAACATTTTAGATCTCGTTTTGTATGACATTTTTCTCTTATATTGCTATATTATTTTCGACACACACCAGTATTAGTCTCTTATTATTTTGTATGTCCATTATTTTATTTGTGATTGTGCTTCATAATTCAACTGAAAACAAATACACAACTTATAGTAAAAAACACTTGTTCTAATACACTTCAAAGATGTATCTCCAAATTATTACTAAATATGCGTCTCCAAAACAATTCAAATGCAAATGGTGTCTAAGTAACATGTTTTGAATGTTTAAAATGATTCTGGAGATATATTTTCAAAATATATTAACGTTTATTCAGAAATAAGATGCGTTCGAAAATATATCTCCAAAATTATGAGACATACATAAATATTCAAATGGTGGTAGAAATATATAGGGTGCAATAAAAAATTCTCTAGCAATCAAACCGAAACATCTTATATAGATTGGATATTGGGTTTACCCAACCCAAACCGGCTCACCGACACCCCTAATTTTGACACAATACTTGGATATCTTTCATAGAAATAATAAAAAATAACTTTTATTGTAAATGTATCACTTCATTTTTTAACCCACTTTTATCCAAAATCAATTCTATAAAATTAACGAAACCAAAATCAATTTCTCATCATCATAGAATTTAACACATGCTTTTTTTCCCTATAAAACCAAACACAGTTTTAAATAATGGTCAATCAAGAAGACCCTTGCATCATTTGAGCATCATTTGAGCATCATTTGAGAAACTTGAGTCTAGAATAAATATTGTACATGCATCTAGAATATATCATATTGCATGATTATACCATCACAAACAATTGAAGCTTTTTCATCTATAATCTTCTAGTCATTAGTACAGTAATATTTGATTGAAGAATAAAAAACTAACAAATATGGAATCATAAATCAGAAACCACTGTCTAGACGGATATACTTTAATCTTCTCTGCTCACTATTAATAATCCACATGGCATGAGAACCTTGATTTTATGTATGGAGAATTACACTCATGCTGGCAAATGAAGCTTTCGGTTGTTCTTCCAACTGCAAGGCAATATTTTCAAATGCTCAAAACAAACATGAACAAGGATCGTTAATATAAGTAAAATGGACCTGAAAAGTAGGCCAGTTTTACCTTTGGAAATAGTAATAGAAGAAATCAGCATAGAGCAGTGTTTGAACAAGCCCAGAAACCCATGCTGCAAAAGAGTATATCAAAATTACTCAGAAATACAATTTCAGAATACAGTGTAATTCACTCGGCAACTATCATGTTTGCATGTTTGATTTTTATGCAGTGAAGACAAAATAGAATTGGTAGATATTTTAAAAGGTTTGCACGACCATGCAAGGCGCCTTCAAAAGTTGTTTGAGCAGTAAAAAAACATGTTAACAATGGTACAAATGTGTCTTTTAATCTGAAATTGAGATTGTGCGATAACAAGGCACACGTTCCAAACCATAAACCATCTAGTTACTAATGCAAAGATCGTACTGTTATTTAAGGTAATCGTATAAGCATAAAATGATAATAACCATTAAGCAAAAGAGAGAATCATACTTATCCAATGGACAAAGTGGGGCTCGGTAAAGTAGCGATAGATCCAGTTGAGAATGTATAGTGCTCTGTACCCACTGCATTTGACAGGCAAAATAGTAATATAAATATCAGATTTTATAATAAGTTGACTAGAAAAGTAATTGGAGATGAGTTTAACAAGCTCACAAGAGTTGATTAACATGCACATGTATCACATCAAGTACCAATCCTAAAGAAATTAAATACAAATGAAGTTATCTACCGAAATAATTCCCAATAGATTTGTAAAACCTGAACAAAACAATTAATCTTCATTTGGCCCTCAGACAGTTGACAGTACCGAATGCCACTTTGGATGGAGTTCATGATTAACTTCTTACATAGAATCAAGCAAAATGCAGACTAAAATCTGGTAAAACATTAATTGAAAGAAAAAAAATTCACAAGCCAAACACATCCTAAATTTTGCATCAGAGTTCTTAGGTATTAAAGCCTGAGAGCTAAACATGTGCAAATGGGTTCCTCTAATATACAAAGTTACAATTGCTTATTTTTTTTATGATAGTACGCCCCTTCAGTACAACTAATTGCATAAACTTGAAAACCTTAATAAGCAGACTATGCTTTCCGACATATAAAAACTTTCAACTCAAGATCATATAGTAAAAGGCCAATTTCATTGATCATTTTCAATCAAGCCACTGGACAGGCTGGTTCATATACACTACTGCAAACTAATAATTCCCCTATTCCTTTTGTTATCTTGTCTACATTAGCAACGCCTACACTTTATTTAGGTGAGTTTGAAATACTGATTACGAACCTGTACCACACATCACATGAAATGCTATGATTTTCTTCATGTGTGAATCATTATTTGAAGCTGGGTAACATGAACCCCCAAAATACTATTAGCGGGATAACCGCTATTGTGAATACTAAAAAACAATGTACATAGTAAACATAAATTCCAACAGCATAGATAATTACTTTAAAATAGAAATTGCACTAGCATACATAGTAAAATTCCAACAGTAAACATAAATTCCAACAGCATACTTTTCCATCAAAATCAAATTATTAAAGTATTCCTGCACAACATCATCCTTCTCATTGATATTAACCCTAGACATATTTGCATCAGTAGTGTTTTGTTTTTTTTCATAATTCTCTTGCAGTATTTGTTTAATATCAGCCGTTATTTTCCTACAAGATTTTACTTCTCCCTTTATTCTCAACTGGTGCTTCATAGCTAGTGTCATTCCTCTTGTTGAAGGGTGCTTACAAAAATCACAAACAATTGTTTACTTGCCTGGTATTTATAAGAGTTCCATTGCCAACGAATATCAAGGTTGTCACTAATAGATTCAAAATAACTTAGTCACTGGAGGTTGGTGTTACGCTTGCAGTGGAAGAGGAAGATGATGCCATGGTTATCAAAAGAGAAACAAGGCAAGGCAAACAGATCAAAGGTTGTAGCTGTGAAACAGAGAAAGGAGAAGAGGCAAAGCAGTACAAAGAATCAGAAGAGAACAGTGGAGCAGAGGCAAACGGCGAAGAAGCAGAGGATAACGACAGTGAATGGTGAAGAAACAGATGAAAACAGCGAAGAATGCAGAAGACACAGTGGAAAAAGGAGCAGAAGAGAAGGCAGGAGAGAACGATGTAGAGAATAAATAAATAAAAACAGTGGAACTAAAAAAGCATACATGGAGTTAAATATTAGGTCAATAAAAGGGTGGGAAAGACCAACATACTCTTAAAATACAGTTCAAAATATTAGGGTTTACGATTTTGTCCTAAAATGAGAATAGCGGCCATCAAACAGAAATGGCACTGCTATTACACCGCCATAGCACTACTATGGCCACTACTGTCGATAGCTCTTTGCAGGGCAATAGCATAGCGGTGAGGGGCCATGCCGCCACGCTACGTCACTATAGCCGCGCTACGGCGCACTATTGACAACCTAGAATTGAAGAGTATTACTTCAATGACTCATATTGTATCAAATTGTAACTATGATTTGCATCTTCATCCTAAATGAAACCGCTACTAAGCTCATTCTATGAGGGAACAGATATAAAAATAGACAAATCTCGCAGTTTTTGGCTATTGATCACTAGTTGAAATACCTCCAGAAGATAATAACTGCTAATTCCAATTCTAATGCAATAACAAGAACTACATAAATCATATCATGATAATACATAATGCTAAAACTCAGATAAAGAACCATAACTTACCCAAGAAGAAAGACATATTGTCCTGTCAAATTGTCAATGTTTCTGGTTCTTTGTAGAAGTACTAGTTGAGGAAGTATGGCAACAGCTTCCAAATACAAAGAAAATGTCCATACCACCTATTTCACGCATAAGTAGTTTTAGAAAAGTAAATGAAAGTTAAAGTAATGCAAATTTGGCTCTTAAACAGTCAAACATGTATGGTAGCACAATAGCTACAGATGTTAAATAACAATAAATTTATACTAACCTCCTTAAATGTAAACTTCTCATTGATAAGTAGGGCCAACAGTAAGCAAGGCAATACAAGAAAATAGTGACGGAAGGTATCCTGATCTTTGTCGTATGATCTACGAACAATTTTGTGGTACCTCATGTACCACACAATAGAGAATGAGCTTCCCAAGAATATCAACTTCATAACAGTATTATATAGAGATATGTAATTCGTAAAGATATCTAAGTAGCGAGCGGCGAAAACAAGTGCGTAGAGTTCTTGAGTTTTCAACGAGACACCTGCATATAAATAAGATGCATCCAAAGTCAAAGAAAAAAACACGCAGTTCTCTTATTAACAAAAAAATAGACTAGACCAGTCAACTAGTGCCCAAAAATGAAAATAAAACACCTGATAAGCAGATATCTACTCCTCTAATGAATTACTTTTATTCTTAATCACTTTGACTATTTTTTTCCTTCATCTGGCAATGAATAAAACACTCATTGTTCATCCATAAACAGAAAACAAAAGACAAAGCTGAGGGAAAAATATTGGCATATATTTTTAGTAATAAAGGGTCTTCTACTTTTATCATTATATTTTAAGCAATCACATTACTTAATCACAATGGAACCATGAACAGTACTTGAGTTTAAGAAGCAAGAAAAGTACTGATCTTCAATTAACTACATTACTCACAAAAGACTTGCAGCTATCCTCATTCGTCTACATATCTAACTACATAAATCCCTACGTCTCAGTCTCGTTACTCAAATTTTACATACATACAACTTTCAAACTTACCATATCTATCTCAAAAAGAAACTTGTATAAATAAAGATCCCTGGTAGTTAACACATGCTATTTTCCATACATACTCAAACTATTAACTTCGAGATTAACTTGGGAGTCTTTTGACCAATAAGGATGCAGATTCCCTGCAGTCATGGTACACACATTCATGCATTTGGAGTATTACTGACCGATTGATCTAAATCAGACGGTCCTAATTCAAGTTGTGAATTTTAAACTATGATAAAAATTAAAATTTGTATTTTCTGGATCATCAAATCTTGATTGAACGGTCACTAATTCTCCAAATGCGTGAATATGTGTACAGGCTGGTTGCAGGAAATCCAATTTCATGTCTTCATAGAATGGCCAAACATTATCTAATCCCAAACAAAAGGCACACCACAACTTCCTCCACAATAACAAATACCAAAGAATGCTTCAGCAACACTTAATAAACCATAAAACCGAAATCCACAGTAATAACAACTAGAACCACTTAGCCTAACAACAAAAACCCTAACAAAGGGAAATTCCAAAGCAATGCCTAAAAACTCACTCATCAAAACCCTACTCTACTCTCATTTCTTCTTAGATCCCAACATCATCCACTTCAAAATCAACACAAAAACATAACAAACCATCACAATAATGTCAACAAAAGAAAGAAAAAATACCAGCACACGATTTGATGGTATGGATCTTGAGAAGAAGGACGAGGACGCTAGCCAGATGGGTCATATCCCCAGCTAACCTGAAAATATTCATCTTCGTATAGATCTGAAATTGCTCGATCTGTTTATTTTTCTCCAACCTCAAGGAAGGTTGCGTTACGGTTGCAACAACCGTTTTGAGGCGGTGTTTTGCGCACTACTGTGAAGGTGTGTGTGGCTGTAGGATAGAAGATACAAGCATAGGAGACTTCAGAATATGCTACCAGTCGTACTCTTGCTTCTTTTTTTTCTCTCCTCTATGTTTTTTTTAATTATTTACCTTTTTTTATTACTAAAACGTTTTTTTATGGCAATTTTCATTTTTACCATTTTGGTAACAGCAAGGGGATTTTTTATACAATAATATCTTATTAAGTTACTTTAATTTGTACGATTTTAACCGAGATATAGTTTTATTTAGCTTAGGTTCCTTAATTTAATTTAAGATTTTATTTTATTTTTTTATATATAAATATCACATTTTAATCTTTTATAAACTATTTTGTTAAACAATTTGATCTTAATGTTAAATTTTGAGGAAAAAAAAACATTAAATTGTGATGACATGGCAATCTAGTTAGTATAAATTTAAATAGTGACTCTATGAATATTTTATGAACGTATAATTATTTTCATTTAAAAGTAAATTATAAAAAGAATACTGTCTTGTGTTTTTTAGGATTCCACCTTTATTTTTTTCATCTTTATTTTTTTTTAAATTTTTTCTTCGATGTCAAAGATTTACAGCAGTGTTTCAATGTTAAAGATTTTTCTCTTCAAACTCCAACGACCTTCTAAGCTGATTTGCATAATTTTTCTGATGGTCCTGAGCCTTTTTCATTTTCTATTTAATCATCCTTATTTTCTCGGTGATTTCCTGGATTATCTCAGGTCCAAGAATTCTTTTATCACCAATATCCGTCTAACACAAAGGCATTATACACTTTCTCTCATACAAGGTTTCATACGGTGTCATTAGAGCTGGCAAAACGGGCTACCCGGCCCGTGACGGGTTGGCCCATGATAGGCTCGGACTTTGTGCGGGTCGGGCTAAAAAGCTCGGATTATAAACGAGACATAATTTGATTGACCAAGCCCAACCCTTCACGGACTACGGTTTTGCAGGCAGGCCCGGTTTATATTTATAATTTTGTTTTTTTAAAATTAAAAAGTGAGTGTTTTATTTAAAAAATAATATAGTACTATTAGTATATTGTACACACCATACTCTAATTTTATCATAGCACTAGTATGACATTTCACTTAGAAAATGCACCAGTATGACATTTCACATAGAAAATGCACCAGTATGACATTTCATTTCGCTTAGAAAATGATAATAATGTTGTGCGCACCAAAATGTAACTTATAACATTTCCCTTGGTGCATTGTTTATCTTTTTCATTTGAACAAGGATTCAAAACAAAGTAAAATTCTCAATGATAACATTAAGTTTTACAAATTAAATTAATAATAAGGTCTAAAATTCATTAAAAAAAACTAAGTGGGCTACCCGCTACCTGGTCGGGCTATCCCGATTAAACATCGGGCTTTTAACGGTTCGGGCTTAAAAGCCCGGATAATAAATGGGCCTTATTTTTTGTTCAAGCCTAGATTTTTTTGGCAGGCTTTCGGGTCGGCCCGGTTAGTCCGGCCTGTTTTGCCGGCTCTAAGTGTCATCCCGATGCTTGAATGGTAGTTATTATTGTAGGCGAATTCGATCAAGGGTAAGTGGTTCTTCCAATTTCCTCCACTCTCCAAGATACATGCCTGCAACATATCCTTAATGGTTTGAATAGTTCTTTTCATCTGTCCACCTGACTAAGGATGATTCGAGGTACTAAGGTTCAAATTCTTCCCCAATGCATGATGAAAAGCCTTCCAAAACTTAGAAGCAAACTTCGGGTCTCGGTCAGACACGGTATTGCTCAATACATCAAGCAATCGGACAATCTTCACAATGAACAACCTTTCTAGGATGGATGACCTTGCACGTAGTCTTAACGGGTAGAAAATGAGATCACTTAGTTAACCCATCAATAATTACCTAATTTAAATTGTGATTGTCAAACGTACGACGTAAACCCATTATGAAATCCATTGAGATACTTCCTCACTTCCATTCGAGTATTTCCAAGGGTTGCAACATACCACTCAGTCTTTTATGTTCAATATTCACCTATTGACATACTAACTAGTTGGCTACATATTCTGCAATATCTCTTTTCATACCATGCCACCAAAAATTCTTATTCAAATCTTGGTACATTTTAGAAAAACCATAGTGAATGGTGAAACCACTTGTATGATCTTCTTCCAGGATTTCTCTCTTCAAATATGAGTCATTTGGTACACACATCCTTTAATTAAACAAAAAAAATCCATTCATGGCTCGAGTGAAGACTGTATGGTCAACCCTAGACTGCAACTCTAAATTTGCCCATTAAACTTGTCTTATCGTTTCCCTCAGGTCACATTTGATACTCAAGTTGCTATTTAAAACTATCTTCTGAATCTATGCAAATTGTAGGTCAAGGTTCCAAAATATTTCCAAAAAATCATGCTCTAACATCATCGACTCAATTTATGCATATCCTTCATAATCAGAGCATATGATACCTTGTTGGATTTTTCTGACTAGTACTTTAACTCAGATTTTTAATTTTGCAGATATTCCATCCATCTTCGGTGATAGATATTCAACTCTTTGTGATCAAAGAGATACTTCAAACTTTTGTGATCACTAAACATTTCAAAGTGTACTCCATATAGGTAATGTCGCCACATTTTGAGTGCGAAGATGATTGCAGCCAAATGTAGCTGTTAAATGTTCTTGTAGCTGCCTTGCTGGATTTCATTGCAGCCAAAGTGTACTCCATATAGGTAATGTTGCCTTGCTGAATTTCATTGTTGTTTTGTGCAGGAGGTGTTGTTGTAGCTGCTGTTTTTGCCTTGTCTTCATGTTTTTCTCTTGCTTTTGCATGCTCACTTAGGATTCTTAGTCCAACTTAATTTCCGATTAAGATTGGAATAGGATAGACATTAGGAGTGTAATCCATGCATGCTAACAAGTAGGTTAGTCCCTTTTAACCTCAACCTTAGGTCCATATTTTACATGCTAATATTAGGATAGAATTTCCTTTCGCATCCTGACTTTAGGGACATTTTGCATGACAACGTTAGGACTGAGTTTTCCTTAGACCTTTTGTGCGTCTTTCTCTCTTCTCATCTCAAAACACTTTTAAAACACTTAATAAAGACGATGAGCATTGTACGCCATGAGCCTTAAGTGTATGGGAAATATTGAGTGATGGGTTTCTCCTCACTTGTCTAGAGTGTCTAGTGTACGCTCTGTGGGTGATATGCAACGCATTCGTTCCTATAGTCTTTAGTGCAACATGAATCACAAAGCAAACTAATTCACTTCACTAAAACTCACAAACAAAATTCAAACCTTTTCATCCATTGGGATTTATGTTGCAAACTCATTTGCAGAAAGAGCATGTTGCTTTTTCGTTCTACCGTAAATAGGCATCGACCCTAACTGCTGTAATGGGAGCTTAACGTCGTTCATAAAAAACACTTAACCAACCTGTGGTTTAGTTAGCCGAACTACGGCTGCTCTGATTTCTCATACCAAATGAGGATACATAGGCATAAGACGATGATGTCTTGGCGAGCAACCTTCCCCCCATCATCCGTAGTTTTCCGAACTACGTTGACTCTGACTTTCCCATTGCACGAAGGAGTACGTAGGCATAGGGCGGTGATATTCTATCAAGTCTCTTTCTTTTCCTTTGTTTCCCGTCTCCATTTAGAAGTAGATTTTAGATAACTCACCCTTTGATTAGACAACAAGCATAGATCCCGTTGAGTACAACGGACGTGAGGGGTGCTCATACCTTCCCCTTGTGTAACCGTCTCCCGAACCCAATATTTGGGTGCGATGACCTTTCCTTTTCCTGTTCTTCAGGTTTTCTTCAATTGTTTTCTTTCCTTGCGTTAGGATAAAAAAACGTTCAGTAGAGACTCTTCTGTTTGTTTACGTCATCTTTTTCGCAGTTGCGACAGCTGGCGACTTTATTGGGGACCTGGTTCCCTATTGGAGTTAATCCTAGCGCTTGTTTGTTTCTGTTCTTTGTGTGTTTACTTTTATGCAGTTATTTGCTTTTATATACATTATCTGTTGTATATTATTGCATTTTCATTTTACTGTTGCATATTATATTATGCTACTGTTGTTGTGCTGTTGGGTGGGTTATTCCGTGAGAGATAAGCCCGATACCCAGGCTTGAGTATACACACAAGATTAGTGTGGACTTGTATGGCATTTAGTTACGCAAGATTTCACATGAAATTCACCTCCAGACGAGGTTTTCTTTGGAGATACCTTATCCTGTGTATTTAAGGCAGTTGAGGGTGTGTTGAATTAGAAAGATGACGACTCTGGAGACCATTCATTAGGAAGTCAATTGAGACCTCCTTGATTGACCATGATGCCAAACCAGAAATGGTAAACGTATCATTGTTTCTCGACCTGAGAGTCTGTGATACTGATGACCTGCATAGGGTGCCATGTCGTCTAAGAATAAAACCCACATGTGAGAGGGATGGGTTTTGCAAGAAACTTTGACCTTCAACCAACCCGATTTTCTGGTTTTCTTGTCAGAGCGAACCTTTGATCTTGGGTATTCTGGTTTTCTATCACCTCGGTATTCTAGTTTTCTGGGTTTTCTTATCAGAGCAGAGTTATGGTTATATTCAGTCAACAACACAACAACATTGGATACCTTGATCCCCTATCTGCTACATAACCATCTTGCATTTTAACATTGCATATTTGTGTGTTCTACAGGTTCTTGTCTCTCTTTTGATTCCGGTCCTGGATTTCTATAGAGATGTTTTATACAAGTTTTCGTCACCAGATTTGGGACCTTTATTTGGTCTGATTGTGTCGCTACTGCGAAAATAAGGTGTCGATAAAACAGAAGAGTCGCCACCTTTCGTTATTTATCCCTCGGAGCGGGAAAGGAAACGATCAGAAAAACCTGACGA